GGAACAACATATAGACCAAATATTAAACATCACGTTATGGCAGCAATGCCTTTACATGTCTTAGAAGCTACTGCAAAGAGAAAACTGGGTCAGAGAAGCAGACCTTACAGTCTGTCTGCCTACAGACCCCCCAAAAAAGTATTGCATTGGAGAAAGCACTGGAAGATGTTGCAAGTCTGGCCCCTTTCTTGTTGACTAAACCTGCTATTTCACTTACCGGGATTTTAAGCCAGCACCAGACTCTCACCTACCATCAGTACCACTCTCCTTCCAACTATGCCATGCAAAAAGACCCCTTGTTTCCTCTAACCCAGGTGCACATGCTGTACTCCATGTCTTTGACAGCCCATACGTCTGTCCCTGTTGTTAATACGCTTCTCTTCCAACTCTACTACAAATCAACACAAAAGCTTTCAGCAAGTATAAATCACAACTTCCAATACCCTAAATTCCTATAGCCTAAGTTGTCCTTTGTTGCAGCACATTTTATTGTCTTCCATAACCAGCATCAGACAAGTATAATTTTACCAAGTGGTCATTTTGGCAAATTAAACCCAGCCCAGGCCCTTCTACTTAACAGTCTGCCATATTTTTATGCTGATCAAAGGCCTCCAAGTTTAATCTCTTAAGAAAATTGGGAAAGCTGGCAGAACTTCTATTGTAAAGCCCTGATTACTTTGCAGTGTGCCCCTGGTCTGAATTAAATTGAATTTTCTGACCATTCATCTAGTAGTCTGCAAAACCACCCATTTGGACAGACTTAGCTTGGAGGGACAAGGACAGGTACCCTGTGATATGGCACAATGCAAGATTTGAACTGACTAAACAAGCTGGCCATAAAAAGGGACAAAAACACAACTCATGAAAATAATTGATGGTCCAGCCTAGCTTTGGATGGATATGTTTCATTCTCTTTTCTGTTTTGAGAGAGAAAGAAGAAACCATAAATACCCAATTTTCAGTTTTTTAAACTCTATAAAACATCTGAGCATTTCTCCATCCCCTAACATTCAAAACAGATTCCCTGGAGAGGAGCTCTGCCCCAGCATACTTTAAAGAATAGCTCCCTCTTACTGATTAATGAAATTTAGTTAGAAAGAAAACCTTACAGTACAGATGGTGAGAGTAGACAGAGACAGTGGGTTTTAGACAAAAGGCAGTGAAATGCAGCTATATCGAACTTCTAACACTGTTCTAGATACAACAATAACATGAAGGAAAGACTGTCCTTTCCTATTTTGTTCACATCCCATCCGTTATGCCACTTTGTCAGCTTCTTTACTTGCTCTTTAGTGAGTTAAAAAAGCAACAGGGAAGAGCTACCACACGAGAGTATCTACCAACACCGGCCAGGAGATAAGCAAGTGTTTTAAATGCATCTTGGAGAAAGGAGGGGATAACAAGGAAAAGCTGTATGGATTAAATCATTATTGTGGCTACTCTGTTTATCCCATATGGTTAAAACTGCTGATGTGGGTCATTTTAGGCAGCTTCGCAAGCAAGGCAGTACGGGGCTCCTGCGTCAGCTTCCCTACCGTGCTGCACAGAGAAGGCCCCTCTCCAGAAGCTGACCACTATGCCTAGTCAGTCTCTTCCACTTCTCTCAGTAAAAAGTTACTTCCCACAGTTCTTAAAGACAGAAGGGAAAATGATTTTAAGAGGGGAAAAAAAAAACAACGCCTTTTGCCATAAGCTACATCTCCATTAGAAGGCAGTGGCCCCTATGAGAAAGGCCTCGGTGTCCCACTACACTGAAAAACTATTGCTGACCTAATCAATAAACACAAAGCTCATGAAGCAGGTGATGAAGACAACACCATCTCTCATTTCCACACCCAGTGAAAAAAATTGCAAAAGCAAAGAGGAGCGGGCAAACAGCACTGCAATCAGTGCCTCAATCCCTCTAGGATAGCTCTTTAATCATGAATTTCTCTCATTGCTTTTTAAAAAAAAACATCTGTGCTAGCCCACACCACCTATTCAGCAAATGTGGCTGACTCTTCCTGATTCTCACCCTCAATCCCCAGGTTAAAAATTTCAATTTTCCATCACAAACAGCAGTCAGCAGTTACTGCTATCCCAGCAGTCCACCAAACAAATTAGGAGGCAGAGGGTTACAATTTAATACCTCATCCCTGTTTGCTATCATTTGCTACCTCATTTAGACAAAAATGAAAAGCGATGTAGGCAGTGTAATAGTAGGACTCCAATGCTACAGTTGCTGACTACAGACCTTTTTGTGCTTAATGCTCTACAGATGAACAAAGGATGACCCCTCCTCCTCACCGCTTACAAAATCAGGCAAAAGTTTCTCAGTTGTTCAGTTCCGACTGACCTCATAAAGAATAGTACAATGTTAACTACGGCCTCAGCACGCTAGCTGCCCAAATTCGGGTGTTTCTGTGGATGTCATAATCAGAGAGGGCTTTCCAGGTAAAAAGAGAAAACTAAGATAGTTCCTAATTATGGGAGACCTCTCATCATGATGGGTAAAAACAACAGCAACAACAACAAAGGTACTGCATTGTGGCCCAGTTAGGGGATGGAGCCAAGCACCTTCTTGCACGAGACTACAGGTAGGGCCCTGAAGGACCTTGAAAGCAGAGATAAGCAACCTACGTTTGAAGCTACAAAGACAGGGAGCCAGTGGAGCAATGCAAAACTGGTCAGGCAGTAGCAGCTGCTAGGAACAATGACTGAGTGGGTTGCCTCTTCCTGCAACATGCAAAACGGGTACATACTCAGCAAGACTGGAGAGGCTAAAGCCAACAAGAAGGTGATCACAACAACAAAGGAGTGAAACGAGGTGGTCTTGGATGGGATGAGTGTTAGCTGTTTAGTTAAACAGTACCATCCTAGAGATTGTACAGCATGCCTGCAGGAGATGGCCTGCTAAAGGAAATGAAGAAACTGGAGGTGAATAGAAACTACATTATTGGTCAGACAGATGAGACGGGAGTATGACTCACAGCTGTCAAAAAAAATAGTGTGAGCAAGGAATTTGTGGGTTTTTTACATGTCAAGCTTGATGTTGACACATAAATATCAAAACCAAGTTTCATCAGGCAAAGGCTGATTTTATTTAGAGCCAGGAGACAGTGAAGAGTTGAGACATCGTAAAGAACTGAGCCACAACTGAATTTGAATTTGATTGTAAGACTAGCGACGAAGTGCTGTAGGATAAGACTAGGGCTAAAGGATGAAGCTAAACCAGACCTGCAATGCAAGCCAGAGAGCAATGAACATAACTGGAAGGATATACAGTCAAGACTGTTTCAGCAGGCAAAGGAGAACCAGGTCAAGACAGTTTCAAAAAACAAGGTATTCTGAAAGCAGTGAACTGTACCAAGCAGAGGAGAACCGAGGGAGGGTGCTCAGAGGTTAGAGGACAGCAGAGAAACTAGCGCAGAGCTCCACGACAGGACTGCAGGGCCACCCGAGCATTGGTGAGCCTGAAGATGAAAAAGGATTCCGAGGTTGTCTGAGAGGCAAGTGTAGTCAAAGGATTTCCCATCAGCAGTAGATCAAAGACAATAAAGCAGGCTTTGACTGTGTCAGAAAGAGCCACATAAGAGTTATAAAGTAAGATGAAGAGGGTAAGGTTACTGAGGAAAGTGAAAGATTTGCATGAGAAGAGCAGACAGAGTTGGTACAAATATGACAAGGAAGAGAAGGAAAACATCTATGCTAATACACAGGAGATTTCTAATCATTGACTTCATGCAATAAAGCAGGAACTAGGAGTTATAAATTCTTTCTTGATTTTAACAGCTTACAGTAGACTTGCACCAATTTTCAAAATTACAGGCTTGGGGAGGGTTGCTTGGTTGTTTGGTGTTTTTTTTCTTTTCCTTTTTTTTTAAAATCAAAACACAAAAGCACCATCTACACCAATTTGAAAAAAAAAAAAAAATCAGACTTCAAAAGAACCAAAGTCAGCAGATTATTTTTTTTTAATATTCTAACATAATTTAAAAAAAAAAAAAGCTTTTGTGTTCTATGCAGTAAATGAGGGATGGATGGGTTTGCTGTACCTTCTGTGTCCTCAGGTAGGGGGATACAGGCACAGCCTCACACTTAACAAAACGAAACAAAAAAAAAAAAAATCAGATTTCATGTTTGAAAGTTGAACAGCTGGATGGCAATCTGTAGAAGACATCCCCAAAAGCCACTTTTTCTTCAGAGCTCCATAGACATCTTTTTCACTCTATTTGGAAAAACCTGCTTAAGTCTATGCAAGAAACTAAGGCTACAACTGCTAATTATAAAGTCAATTTGATACTAATGTAGAATATCTGATAGCTAAGTACCTTCACTAGAATAGAGCTCTTTTCTAACAACAGATCTTTAGGCAAGCTAAAATTAAAATCTGAGGTTAATGTTGAGAATGAAACAAGAATATGAAGAACAAAAATTTTTGATTGTTTAAAAACAGAACAACCCCAATTTGAGTTTCTTAAGGCAGATTTCCCCAATTGCTAAGTAAGCCTAGTTTTAAATACAAATTTTCAGAAACACTGCCACCCCTCTGGTGCCTCCCTCCCAAAGTGCGGCAACAAGCAAAAACTTCCAAATAGGAGCAAGTTTACTTGAAGAGGATACAAACCATTAAAATAATTAATAAAAAGTAGTAAGTAAAAAAACCTCTTCTGCTCTCCCAGCTGCCAGATCGACAAAGCTGCATGTGGCTCAGGGAGCAAGAACAGTTTGGCAGAAAATAGATGGTGTTCCCCCAAAGCAAATAACAGTTAAAGCTTCTTGTTACAGTATGTGCTTGTATTTAAAGTCTGTTAAAAACCCAAAACATCCATTATACTTTTAAGATTTTAAAAAACAAGATGTGCTACTCATTTAACTACTTGTAAGTATGTAAAATCCCTACAGGAATCTTTATTCAGACACTGCCTCAAAATGCCCCAGCTCTGTACAGTAGCACATCCTGTGAGCTTTACATTATCAAAGGCTAAGTGTACCTGAAATCAGGTTTAAACCTCTCTTACCTCAATGTCAAGTACTTCCACCGTGTTGTCCAACATCTTTATTTTGATCGGTAGGTCCCGCTCATGTGTTTTGGCAGGCGATGATGCCATTGCAGTAGAGAGGTTCTGTCCTGGCTCCAAGGTACTCACTCCTGTGGTCTTTTGGACACCCAAACGAGAGCCAGGAGTCTGCAGGACTCTGTATGTTCCTTCTATCTCTCCCATCTTTCAACAGCAAGCAGAGTCTAAAGAAACCTGGAAGAAAATAGAGGATTACAGCCTGAAAGATAGTTTTCCACCGATATCCCATATGAAAATGCTACCCACCGAAACACAGTCACACACAAAGTCCTTATCTAATGCTCTTCATCCTGCTATCAAAACCAATAATAAAGTTGATGAAACTCTGGTCAAAAATCCAGCTGCTGGGAAGAAAGATAAGTGGCAAAAAAAAAATAACTCTTCCAAAACACAGTTAGGAAATAGGATACTCAAACCTGCGCCCTCCACCCTCCTTACACACTGACATTTTAATTTCCAGTTAACTTTTCTGCCAATTTACCTCCCTAAACCAGGTCACCACAGTACGAACACTGCTGACAGCACAAGAAAAGCCACCTGGAGCAGGCCATGGAGGGAAAGACAGGACTCTGCCTTTCACTGGTACCTAGCCCTCCCATTGACTTTGCTACAATATCGGACCACACCCCGAAATAACAGGAACAATTAACTTTCTTCATCCCCCAAAATGATGACTCATGCAAAACCGTAACTACTCCAACCAATGCTGGCAGCTCAGAGCCTTCGTAATGCAGATTTCTGCTGCAGATAACAGTTCTTCACCTTATTAGCAAACCTGCACTGTACCCAGACTAAGTCAGTGGGCAAAAACCTCAATTACAAACATCTACGCTAGTTCAGGTAGACCAACTCCTACATTGTGATCCTTACTTTCATGGTTTCATGGCAGTTGTTACAGAGCAAATGTTTAATTTGACATGGAGAAAAAAAAAAATGTGTGCCTCTCTCTGCCTCTCCTGTACCACAGGAACAGTGGCAACATTTGCACCTGGATCGCAGCAGGGTCTACGTGAATGCGAGGCATGTGTGCTCAGGATGCAATGCACCCAACAAAGCCACTGCCCCACGCTCACCACTGGCACGAAGTATTTGGCAACAACGTGCAAGGCGCTCAGCAGAAATGCACATGGAAACCGATAGGCTCCTTGGTGCTTTTGGTTGCATTTCCCAAATACCATGCTATGTCTGAACAATCAAAAGTATGTGGTTACTGACGCTGGGACAGCCTTCGCGTGGCCACCACACTACAAAAAATTCAATGAAGTGTTAGATTATTGTTTTGTAATAAACGTGTTTTGTCTAAAAAGGAGAGAGGCAGATCATGAAAACATTCCTTTGTCCCTCTACGCTTTGAGTAGGTAGGCAACCCGCTCTGTGGATTCAAACGGAGCCAGCCTTACATGTTGTTAAAAATTTGGGGGGGGGGGGGGGGGGGGGGGGTGTCGATAGC